TAGACCTCTATTCACAGTACTCTGTAGTGGCTACTCTCCTACAACTTCAACTGAGCTCCAGCCGCCTCCGACCAGCCAATCGGCGTGCAGCCAAAAAAAAAAATCGAAAAATGCTAGTGACAGGAAGAGGTTCGGGAAGAATAAAGGGAGGATTGAAGAGTGAACTTAGGAGGAGAGACAGATGCAGTGGCCTAAGCACCACTTGCGTGAGGATTATAGATGGAGGCAGCAGCAACAACTCGCCTGGACGCGGCCAGGGGCGACAAGACGAAGCCAGGCTAACGTCAGGTCAAGCGTCAGGTGCGTGTTGGGTTGGGCAATGGATGTTCAGTGCTTGGTCGGCAGTTGTGTTTTTGGTTTCTTGTGTGGAGATGTCTTGGTCTTCTTAAGCTTGATGTCGATTTCTTCTCACTCTTCTCCTCTTCTTGCTCTCTTGAAGTGTCCATTCGTTTGTGTTTGGGTCTTGTTGTTCGTCTTCCTCGTGTATTAAGTCCTCATAGGTGTGGAAGAAGTCAGAGGGTGAGGCTGACCCGTGGGCTTCAGCTCCACAGGCCACGTGGTGTTCTTGAGTTCTGTGGTGGGCGTCTTCTCTTGAGTTTTCTTTTCTTGGTTTCCTTTTCTGCTGGTTTTCTTTTCTTGGGAGCGTACAGCAAGGAGGGCCTCTTTGTAGCTCAGTTTTCTCCAAGACGAGCCTTGGCTACCCTGCATTCTCTCCTTCCATCTAGAGAGGCAGGTCCGGTCGGCAGTGTGGGCCTACAGGCAGCATTTTTTCTCTTTGTTGGGGCAGACCGTGTAGCGGTGTCCAGGGCTGCACATGGAGCAGGTGTCTTCCTGCGCCTCACACTTGTTTACAGTGTGTGTCCATAGTGCTGGCATTGTAACACCGTTTCCGGTCTGCAGTAGGGCTTGACTGGCACAGTTACCCACACCAGCTGAGCCCTTGGGTAGGGTGGAGTGTGGTGTCCAATGAACAGTGGTGTCGGACAGCTTCTTCACAGCTTGGAGCCTGCTGCTCATGAGAACTCCTCAGCTCTACTTTGTCATGGGCAATTTGGCGTGGGAATTACTTCAGGATTGTATCCCCATGTAAATAAGCATTTTAAAGGAATACCGTTGATGTCTGGGATCTCCAGCAGCGAGCTGAGCGGGCATGCCGCCTACTCGACGAAGGTGATGTGATGTCACCATGGAGCTTTAGGCGTTCACCTTGAGCCCCAAAGATCCGGTAGCTCAAACTTCTGGAACTAGGAGGTTTGAACAGCAGGGCAGGTCGGCTTGTCGGACATATCGCGCCACGACATAACTATTAACCGTTCATGGTGAAGAGGGTTAGAAGTGGATGCTGATGATGCGTGCAGCCGTCGATCAGAAATGCTAGTGACATGAGGGGAAGGAGGTTCAGGAGAATAAAGGGAGGATTGAAGTGAATTTTAGGAGAGAACAGATGCAGTGGCTAAACACCGCTTGCGGTGAGGATTATAAGATGGAGGCAGCAACTTCGCCCGGACGAGGCTGTTTTCGGGCTCGCCAGGCTAGCGTGGAATAGCGTCAGGTGCGTGTTAGGTTGGGCAATGGATGTTCGAGGTCTTGGTCAGCGATTGTGGTTTGGTTTCTGCTTGTGGAGAGTTGTCTTGGTCTTCTTAGCTTGATGTCGATTTCTTCTCCACTCTCCTCCTCTTCTTGCTCTCTTAGGTATCCCATTCGTTTGTGTTTGGGTCTTGTTGTTCGTCTTCCTGGTGTATTAAGTCTCATAAGGTGTGGAAGAAGTCAGAGGAGGTAGAGGTTGACCCGTGGGCTTCAGCTCCACACCCGGGCACACCCGCGTGGTGTTCTTGGTTCTATGTGGTGGGCCTTCTCTTGATTTTTCTTTTTCTTGATTTTTCTTTACTGTTTTTTCTTTTCTTGTGATTCATTAGCTTCAAACTTCTGGAGAACTAGGAGGTTAAGTTTCTTGGGGCAGGTCGGCGTGTCCGGACGTATCCGCGCCACGTTATCAAACTCGTAACAGTTCATGGTGAGAGAGGGTTAGAGAGTGTGACTGTGCGTACAGCCAGCTACGCCGAGAGACTAGGTCTATGCAGAGGACGTAGGGGTACGATCGCCGACTTAGTCTCGACCATCAACCTCCAGTTCAGGATCAGAGCGTTTCACACCTTACGCTTAAGCCGCTGTGATTGGTCCTCTCGCTACGCCCACGACGTTGGCTTTGGTTCATAATCACCGAATAAGGTAGTTTGGAGAGATTTGCCTTGTTCTAAACTTTTTAAAGTCTACCTCTGAAAGATTGCTCCTTTTGTCTGTACCGACCATATGTATAATATAATTATAAGGTATATGGTCGTTTTGTCCACGAAATAAAAAAACAATAATATTTATTTGAATCTACGTATGTATTTTTAGCCATCATTAGGTAAAAACCTTTATTTTGTCCTTGGCCTTACCTTTTCATTCATGCTGAAATTATGATGACTCATTACCTCATCAGCTTACACAGGTTAAGGAAATACATCTGGAAACAACATCTTAACATTTTTATTAGTCAGATAAACTTTAGAAAAATACAAAACTCACATCCAGCTAGTCACCCTATTATACAGCTTTCCAATAATTTATTTTTGATGTTCCTTTAGTTATAAAAATTTCTTTAGCTAATATGTAATGTTTTGCCTCAAGTTTTCAATGATTTTTTCATGGTAATACCTTGTCTTTACGACTGTCTTAACTGCTTTACGTTTTTTCTCACTTCAAAACTGTCCAATACTATTTCTAATTCACTCCAAGTACAACTCTTACATGTTCAACTCTGCAAATACTAAACGTTCACAACACTCATAATGAACAATCACCAGCAGGATGTTGATCTTTATAATTTTAAGACATCATCATCTATGTGTGGAGTGTGTGTGTATGTGTGTTACTATTGTACGACTTAAAAACATTCAACGTGATGTTAACAGATTTAGAATAACTCTTATATGTTAGAATTATAAGGCACGACATACAGACACAAAAACGCACATATATACACACACAAACAAACATGGAGTTCTGTTTGTTTGTTATGACAGCAATCTCTTCCCATCACACCAAAACAAACATTCATGATATTTTGGTACAATCCCGTATTTCATTATTTACTGCAATAGCAAGGAAACTTTTTCTCTAGTTCTGTCACGTTGGAACAACTCATTTGGAAAACGTTTTCACTTGCCTGTCTAGAGTCACCTTCCATAGGTCATACATACATACATACACACAAACATACATACATAGTGCACGTCGCTCCATGACACTCAACAATACACCCATCTCTTGTCATTCAGTACACGGGGTTTCGCTTGTCACCAGAAACCACAATTTTCGAAACGGCAAATATTACAAACTTACATCAATACGAAAAGATTTTTTCATACACATAAACAACAGAGAGGCCAGCTGCTGACAAAGGCTACGTTAGAGAAGCACAGAAGCAATTTGTTACAACTTTTTTATCTATGCGGAATGTTAAGTGTGTGGTGGTGGTACAGGCTTAATTAATGGCTCTCTCTGCCTCAGGTGATGCGGAGAGAGAGAGAGAGAGAGAGAGAGAGAGAGAGAGAGAGAGAGAGAGAGAGTGTGTGTGTGTGTTTTGCACCAGAACACCAAGATAGAAATCATTACTATGACAAATCAACTGACTATTGATATACAGTATACTATTAGGAATGCAAATCACAGTAAACACTAACAATTTCTGGACATTTTTTTTCTTTTTCTCATAAATTTATATACTTCCAACAGAACCATTATTTATTTCGAAAGGCACTCGATGTAGACATGGACGCAGGTTTGGTTGCATTTCCTGGTAAGAGCTTCCCAGTTAAGCCATCGGTGATCGCTGATGAGATCACATCGAAGTAAACAGTGTGTGTGGTTGTATCATTATCTGCTAAACTGGAAGAACGAATAACAGTTGCGTCTGATGGAGAGGCGTTTGGTTTGGTTGTGGCTGTTGATGATTGGCTGGACTGTGACCCATTCGTGTGTCAGGACTCCAGCATGTGCGCCACCTCACGGAACCCACCCAGGAACTTGGCACTTCCGCTGCAACTCTCCAGACCTAAGGAGATCATAATGATTAAACCTGAAGCGATAGTGATATAGTGAAGACGATGGATACAACTTATTATCATTCACTATTATTATAGGTAACATCGTTATATGTATAACTATAAACTGTACAAGTTTCCCTTCAACATTGGTGGGGAGACATAATAAGAATATTTTCTCAAGGAAGACTTACAGGAGGAGAGTGACCCCGGGGAGGAGCCGTCACCTTCATAAGCATAGTTCCTCAGGTCGTCCCCGGCAGGAGGGTTACCAACTCCTTCCTTGATGGTGCCGTTTTGTTTCTTCGTCTCGAGCGCCGGTCTCTCTTTGCCTCCCCCATGCTCGACGTCTGAGGTGGCAGCTAAGGCACCGCACCGCTTCTGTTCCTCCATGCTGCTGGTCTCTGAAGCTGCGTCCACCTGCAGGACGTCCACGTCTGGTCGAGAAGGAAAGTGCCTTTATTTTTACTAAATCAATCTTTGTTTCAAATATCACAATGAAGATAGATTCAGGATCAAGACACAACAGTCATTACACGCGCTTAAATCAACCCAAAATTATACACCAGCTTTTGTGATTTTAAAATATGAAAAAAGTTGATGCGCTGGGAATGTCAGTTGCTTGTTGAGTTCAAAGATACGTGTAGTGGTAGCAACATCTGCTTGTAGTACCCCAGCAGGAGGTCGTAAATCACCTGCGATATTAGGGTTCTTGGCCCAGGCTGGTTGTCCGTTGGCTTTGGGCAGCTTGAGGAGCTGTAGCTCCAGCAGGTTGGGTGTGTGGCTGCAGGGCGGAGACACCTTTTCTTTACAGGTGACGGTGTGGTTCTTGTCACCAGTGCCCCCCCTGCGTAGTGCTGATCGTCGGTGGTGTTGATGCAGCAAGAAGGCGCAGATCAGCACTGTAGGGAAACAAATACGTGTCACAGCTACTTCTGTAGCTGGCAAAATACTTTGCTGTGTCTACAATTTCCATTTATGATTCAAATTGAATATTTGGTAGAACTAGAAACTGGGGTAGACGCACCAAAATAATAGGTCTATACCGTATACAAATTAACCAAAAATATGACATTCGAAAAACTAACCAACTCTTGATGTTGTGGTGATCAACATGATGGATCATAACTGTGTGTGAACACGTAGTTACAGAAAAAAAGATTATATTTCACTTCCACATCATACCGAGGGGGGAGTAAAAATATGCAAGATTGGCAAACCGTTAAATGTAAGCTTATGTTATCTTACTCCTTGGAATATTAAACAATTAATAAAATATTACCAGTACAGGTATTAACTTGATGCAAAGAAGATCTGACACTCACGGAGGAGGAAGGTGCACCACACGACTATGGCCACCAGCGCCGCCAGGGAGAGTTTTAGTGAAGTCTCTCCAACGTCAGGCAGGTGACAGTGCTGTCCATTGAACCCAGCTGGACAGGAACACACGTAGCCTGGCATAGGACATGGAAATATAGTCAGCGCGAGCATATTAATAAGTACAATATCGGTGCTTGGGTCTATCATAAACTTTTGTCTTTCTGTATACAACGGTAACAATACAAACTCATGTCAGAAAGGTATTCAGGAATTCACAAGCCAGGTACTATGTGCGCACACACACACACACACACACCTGGCTGGGTGTTGAAGCAGGAGCCACTGTTGAGGCAGGGCTGCCACACACACTCGTCCACGTCGTCACAGGTCTGGCTGGTGGTCAACATACGTCCCTCACCACACCTGCTCTCACAGGAAGAACACCTCACATTATACTCTCCCCATTTATTACAATATTCTAGAGAAAACAAAACAAATTCTGGTAAAGAACATGAATGTCGACGACTTAAACTGTAGAAGGATCAGTACTTTGGTACAGACCCGCAGTGGTAGGACCTCCAGGTGTCGACGCAGGAGAGAGGATCTCTACAGGACACGTTGGCACAGGCAGGAGGGGCGCCACATCCCTGTTCCACACCTTTCAACACGCTCGCCTGACCCCACGCCGTGCTGTTGACCGCTGGGGGAAGTGGCACACCGTGACCCGAGATTCGCAGGTCGTCCATACACCCTGAAGGTGGGACCAAGGATGTGTACTGTATGTACGAGGGTGTTTCTCATACACAATGATCCACAACTGGCTGATGCATCACAAAGGAATATCTCACATTATAATTATATGCTCCACTGCTATGTCTAAGCAGTGTATGTATGTCTGTGAAATTGTATGTGTATCTACTGTATGTATTTGTGAGTGTTTATTTATATGTATCATATGTGTGTCAGCATGAACTACGCGTATTGACAAACAGACACTTTTCTGTTGTCATAGATTTGTCATCATGGTAGTGACTATCATCACCCACCATCATGGTAGTGACCATCATCACCCACCATCATGGTAGTGACTATCATCACCCACCATCATGGTAGTGACTATCATCACCCACCATCATGGTAGTGACTATCATCACCCACCATCATGGTAGTAACTATCATCACCCACCATCATGGTAGTAACTATCATCACCCACCATCATGGTAGTGACTATCATCACCCACCATCATGGTAGTAACTATCATCACCCACCATCATGGTAGTGACTATCATCACCCACCATCATGGTAGTGACTATCATCACCCACCATCATGGTAGTAACTATCATCACCCACCATCATGGAGTAACTATCATCACCCACCATCATGGTAGTGACTATCATCACCCACTATCATGGTAGTGACTATCATCACCCACCATCATGAGTAACTATCATCACCCACCATCATGGGAGTGACTACATCACCCACTATGGTAGTGACTATCATCACCACCATCATGGTAGTGACTATCATCACCATCATGGTAGTGACTATCATCACCACCATCATGGTAGTGACTATCATCACCCACCATCATGGTAGTGACTATCATCACCCACCATCATGGTAGTAACTATCATCACCCACCATCATGGAAGTAACTATCATCACCCACCATCATGGTAGTGACTATCATCACCCACCATCATGGTAGTGACTATCATCACCACCATCATGGTAGTAACTATCATCACCCATCATGGGTACTATCATCACCCACCATCATGGTAGTGACTATCATCACCACCATCATGGTAGTGACTATCATCACCCACCATCTGTCTTTCACCATCATGGTAGTAACTATCATCACCCACCATCATGGTAGTAACTATCATCACCCACCATCATGGTAGTAACTATCATCACCCACCATCATGGTAGTAACTATCATCACCCACCATCATGGTAGTAATTATCATCACCCACCATCATGGTAGTCTCTATGGATGTTGTAAACGGTGACGCCAGCATATTCTGGTGTCCCCCCAACATGGACGCCCTCCTGACCGTCCACCTCCAGCAGCTGGCGTCCTTCTAACACGACGGAGGCGTTGTACAGGTCACCATCTCCGTCGTCCACCGTCAGGAAGGTCGCCGACCCGTACCTGTTAATACACCTAAGCGTCAGCGGCTGTCTTTCTTGTCTCACACACACACACACACACACACACACACACACACACACACACACATTTAATATAAAACAATGCCTCTCTCAAAATAATGTATCCAACTATATTGAAAAAGTATGTTATTGTAATGTAGGTTTCTGTTTTTTGACGTTACATGAAGATTCGACACCTCAGCTTATTTCACATGATCATTAAACACCCAATCATGTTAGTTTAGGCTATGTTAGATTAAGTTAGGGTATGTGAGGCTAGACTGTGTTAAGCTAGGTTGGTTTAGGTTAGGTTACATTAAGCTGTGTTAAGCTAAGTTAGGTTAGGTTAGTTAATCTTAAGGTGAAATAAGCTGGGGGTGCTAATCTTCAGGTGATACGAATAGACTGATAAAATCAGGGAGACTCCTATAAAAATTTTAATGCATTTTTCCTTAACGTCCTCTTGACGATATAAAAAAAAGAGAAATACTAAATCAAAATAGTTTCCAGAACCAGGAAGTGCAAATACTATCTGGCACTAAGGTAACGAACGCCTAAGTACCTCGCAGCAGTGAGCGAGTGCCAGTGACCGTCGGTGAGAGAGGCCCGGGAGAGGCAGAGAAGTGGAGGGTCGAGGTTGCAGGCGGCACCACACACCCTCCCACCCACCACCTCCACCGACCAGCTGTCACGACTTTCTTGAGACGCCACCGCTACCAGCTGTCCTCTTCTTTTCCACGTCCTGAACCTGCAGCACAACACCAGTTCATAGTTGCCTCCATACTGTTATTGGTGTGTGTGTGCGCGCAAAAAGTATAACTATTCTTTAAAACCCCAACATATAGAGATACATAAATATTCAGGTGGGCCGAATCGGGATACATTACCCCAAAAAACCTGAAGTGCACCCATGAGATCTACACACATACTGTACTATGAACGTCTCCTTTACAAATTTCAAAGATCCCGTGAGCATTAGCCCAAGCTTATTTTACCTGAAGATTAAACACCCTAGTGCTACCTGGGGGGTTAATTTGGGATGAGTTAGGTTAGCGTTAAGGTGTATAATTATCAGGTGAAATAAGGCGGGGTGTCTAATCTCCACGTGATATGATTGAAAAATACAACAATATTTTCCCAACGCTGAGGACCTGAAGTAAGCTCCTGAAGCAGTCGTTGTGTACCTGAGGGAGATGGAAGTGGTGTAGCCGAGGGGGGTGAAGGAGAGAGCCAACTTGACATAGCTGTTGAGCAGGAAGGTGGTGGGTGTCGTGGGTGTGGCACAGCTTGCGCCACCCCACCCTAGCTGACAGTCACACCGCAGGGACCCGGGTGAACCTTGGCACCTACACGAGGGAGAGAGAGGAGGTTAGTGTTGGGTATAAAGTAGTTGAGGGGAAGCTTGCGCGCGCGCGCACACACATACACACACACACTGAAACAATCACACAAAAAGACAGCAATACGCACACAGGTTAGCGTGGATTAAGTTATGTGTAGCATTAGGGTAATTAATCATCAGGTGATCCTAAAACTCTTTAATAGTCCAAGCAACAAAATAATACTGCCACGGCAGCTCAGGTGTAGAATCAACGGTCCCGTAATTTTCTTTTTTAATTAGCGGCACCTAACACCACCTGCCTCTTAACACGCCCTACCTACCTACCTACCTCAGTAGCCACTACCTGTCCACCTCTCACAACACCTGTCTACCTGTCTCACAACACCTCTCCACCTGTCTCACAATATCTGTATTCCTGTCTCACAACACCTGTCTACCTGTCTCACAATACCTGTCCACCTGTCTCACAATACCTGTCCACCTGTCTCACAACACCTGTCTACAACCTCTCCAGCTGTCTCCCACAATACCTGTCTCACAACACCTGTCTACCTGTCTCACAACACCTCTCCACCTGTCTCACAATACCTCTCCACCTGTCTTACAACTCTCCACCTGTCTCACAATACCTGTCTACCTGTCTCCCCACACCTCTCCCCTTCCCCAAATACCTGTCCACCTGTCCCCTGCCTGTCTACCTGTCTCCCAACACCTCTCCACCTGTCTCCCAACACCTCTCCCCATCTCTCCTCACCTCTCCACCTGTCTCCACAACACCTCTCCACCTGTCTCTCACAACACCTCCACCTGTCTCCACAACACCTCTCCCACCTGTCTCACAACACCACACCTGTCTCAACACCTCTCCACCTGTCTCACAATACCTGTCCACCTGTTCCACAATACCTGTCCACCTGTCTCACAACACCTCTCCACCTGTGTCAACACTGTCCACCTGTCTCACAACACCTCACCATCTGTCTCACACTCTTTCCACCTGTCTCACAATACATGTCCAACTGTCTCCACAACACCTGTCTCCAACACCTCTCCACCTGTCCCAAAATACATGTCCACCTGTCTCACAACACCTCTCCACCTGTCTCACAATACATGTCCACCTGTCTCACAACACCACTCCACCTGTCTCACAACACCACTCCACCTGTCTCACAATACCTGTCCACCTGTCTCACAACACCTGTCTACCTGTCTCACAATACCTCACCTGTTCCCATGCACTCTCCACCTGTCTCACAACACCTCTCCACCTGTCTCACAACACCTCTCCACCTGTCTCACAAAAACCTGTCCACCTGTCTCACAACACCTCTCCACCTGTCTCCACAACACCTCTCCACCTGTCTCACAATACCTCCACCTGTCTCACAATACCTGTCCACCTGTCCCACAATACCTGTCCACCTGTCTCACAACACCTCTCCACCCCTGTCTCACACAACACCACCCACCTGTGTCACCATACCTGTCCACCTGTCGCACAACACCACCATCCGTCTCACAACACCTCTCCACCTGTCTCACAATACATGTCCAACTGTCTCACAACACCTCCACCTGTCTCACAATACATGTCCACCTGTCTCACAACACCTCTCCACCTGTCTCACAATACATGTCCACCTGTCTCACAACACCACTCCACCTGTCTCACAACACCACTCCACCTGTCTCACAACACCTCTCCAACCTGTCTCACAATACCTATCTACCTGTCTCACAACACCTGTCTACCTGTCTCACAACACACCTGTCTCACCTGTCTCACAATACCTATCTACCTGTTTCACAATACCTGTCTACCTGTCTCACAACACCTGTCTACCTGTCTCACAATACCTATCTACCTGTTTCACAATACCTGTCTACCTGTCTCACAACACCTGTCTACCTGTCTCACAATACCTATCTACCTGTTTCACAATACCTGTCTACCTGTCTCACAACACCTGTCTACCTGTCTCACAATACCTATCTACCTGTTTCACAATCACTTCACCTGTCTCACAACACCTGTCTACCTGTCACAACACCCACAACCTTTAAAAAAAGCAGTTTATTCGAGGGAAAATGACTCGGTAATTAAACCAAGAACAACAGACATAAAATTCTTATGTCATTGAGGATGGATCACCTGAAGATTAGGCTCCCATGATTATTTCACCTGATGAATAAACACCCGAACGCTATCTGAGGAGGGTTAGATTAGAGTAATTAATCATCAGGTAGGTGGGGGTGCCTAATCTTCATGTGATCCTTAGACTCTTGACAGGTTATTCGAAATAAAAGTTAACACGTAGATGACATTTACTCGAAATTACGAAGATAAGATCCTTATTCAGTCCTATTTAGGAGGAGGGACGCGGCATGAGGACCTGAGGGAGGCGGTATAAGGACCTCCCTTTTCGTTTCCTGGGGCAGGCGAGGTCGAGGGCGCCACCCAAGGGTCGTAATGTGCAGTCACCCTAGCGAGCGTTGCCGCCATGTTCGAGTTTTGCTAATAACACGGGGACACATTCGTTTACGTGGCTCTGTCAAGCTTAGATGCTTCATTACTGCTGAGATGACATTCCTTAGCTCTCTGGGAGGTGAGGAGGAGAGGGAAGCGAGGGTTGAAGAGGAGGAGGAGGAGAAGAGGGAGTTTTAAAAGAGGAGTAGGAGGAGAGAGAGAGGAGGAGGAGGAGAAGATTCTGTCAATTTATAAACATTTTCGCTCTCTTAAACATTCGTATCATCTTTACTATCACTAAAGTTTGGTTAGGTTAGGTTAGGTAAGGCAGGGTTTACAAGTAAGGGAACTTTTAGTAATGATGATAATAAAACTTTTGACTAGTAATAGTACTTAATAAAAATCGATAGTGGTACTAATATTTGTAAGTAGTAGTAGTAGTAGATTATAAAAAAGTAGTAGTAGTAGCCTATGACGTCAATCACGCCATGGTGTGCAAGAAAAGGGGCTTCATATGCATGAGGCATGACGAAGTAAGGGATCTCACAGCAAATATGTTGAAGGGAATCTGCCGTGATGTCATGGTAGAACCGACCCTCCTTCCATTGGACGGTGAGATCTTCCAACATAGGACTTCAAACACATCCAACGAAGCCCGTGTTGACGTCAGTGCTCGAGGATTCTGGACGCAGGGACAGCTAGCCTTTTTCGACATCATAATTTTTTATCCCATGGCTGCATGTCATCGTAACTTAGCTCTCGATGCTGCACACAAGAGAAACGAGAACGACAAGATAAGGGCATAGGGGAGAGAATTCAGAACGTTGATCAAGGCAGCTTCACTCCTCTAGTGTTCACAACCTCTGGTGGGATGGGACCAAGTACAAGATGCTTCTACGCCAGACTCGCAGAGGTGATATCCGAACAGAAGCAGCAGCCCAGAAGTTATGTTACAGCCTGGATGAGATGTCGACTGTCCTTCTCTCTCCTTCGGTCGGCTTTGCTCTGCCTCAGGGGAACGAGAGCATCGGCCCCAAAGCCGACAACAGTTGCAGATATTGACGATGAGGCTACAGTCACTGAATGCCACATAGATCTGCGGCTCAACTAACTCAACACAGCAGGATAGCTACTTATGTATTAGGATATTTAATATTAAGGTAATAAAATGGTGGCGAAGGAATGGCTATTGGGGGAGGCTGGAGGCCGTTTAGAAAAAAAGTGGTAGTAGTAGTTAATTTTAAGGTAATAAAATGGCGGCGAAGGTGTGGCTATTGGGGGAGGCTGAAGGCCATATTTAAAAAAAATAAAAAAATAGTAGTAGCAGTAGCAGTAGTAGGTGGTGCTGGTGGAGGGACGATTGGGGGATATCTCCGGGTTTTTCGTCTAAAACCGAGGTCTTAATAGGGACAACCAGCCAGAATCGCCGGAATTATTACTTGTGAATGTGTAGTGCGTCAAGTGATCACAGTGTCGTCCACCTGTGGGCCTCCTGAGTGATAATTATTGGAGAGCTGGGGACTGTATAGCAGGTGGCGCCTATGTTGCTAAGTGCCACATAGGCCGTGGTTTGTAACCCGAGCAGGTCAAGGGTGGCAACGGTCCCGCCCCATCTCACCCGTCGGCCAGTACACCAAAACTTACCCTCCCTCCCTTCTCAAACCACAACCATCTACCTCTCCCACTGCCCTCCTTCCCAGGTCAACATAATGGCTGGGAAATGTCAGTGCTCAGGGCGGAACCAGAAATGCACAACCTGTATTTGTGTGAGAAGTAATACACGATGTGTGGGTTGTAGGAAAGAGACCAAATGTCACAATCCCTACGCGAGGGATCCATCAACTGATGATATGTCAGACGATAGTAGTGAACCCACTCAGTCGGAAAATACTGTTCATGAGGGAATGACATACAGTCAAAAATTGAAAGGCATGTCGGGGCAAGATGCAGAGAAGTGGGTCAAAGAAACCGACTCAGAAGTGGTCAGGCGGTCACCAGCTAACCTTTTTGAACCACCCAAGTGTGCGGCCACCAAAGAAATGATCCGGGAGATGACTTGCCTCAATCAATACCTGACGACAGCCCGGCCCCACTAGCACTTCAGATAAAACCTCATCTATTCTGTCAGAGGACACACGCAAGAGAAAAAGAAAATGTGGCAGCAATGAAGAGAAGACTGACAATATGGCAGAAAGGCTCCTTGATGATCTCTTACACGAGGCACTTGCAGGAGTCTAAAATTCATAGCAGACGGAAAGCAAAACTCTGATGATGTTGCCAGAAAGTTGGGAAACAAGATGCGTGTAAGAAAAGTGTCTTCCAAGAGCTCTCACAGAGGAAACTTCCGGTGGTGTGCTGCCAATAAACCGAGAGACATTACTACAACCGAAGGAAAATCATCCCCCTGCAAGTGCAAAGAAATGCTTCAGGTTCCAGGGTTCCTATATCTCTCCAAATGCTGTCATGTTCGAGAAAATAAGAGGAGGGATGTGAAAGGCACTGAAAACACAAGGAGGGGCAGTCCCTTTAGGCCTGGATGCAGACGGTTAGAGAGTCATCCTCAGCACTAACAAGTTTGGTGACACAAGTGATCTCGGTAATACACTTGCAAGAAAGCTAGCAACCTCGTGCTGCCATCACCTCCATGTTCTGACGGCCTGCCGCCTCATCCCCATAAAAAATCCAGGATGTAGGCCTATAGGAGGAAGTGCTGAGACGGATCACCAGAAAATGCATAATGGAGGTGGTAAATGATGATGTCAGGTGCTGCAGGGAACCTGCAAGTATTTGCTGTCCACCAGGCTGGAGGGAGTTCACGCCACGAGAAATATATTTGCGCAGCGTGATTGTGAAGTTGTTTCCAGGTTGACGCTTCCAACGCATTCAACATAATCAACCATAAGGCAGTGGCTTATGCTGATGACCTTACAGGAGCAGAAAAAGTGTAGGATATCAAAAAGTGGTGGGACATGGTAACATCACATGGTCCACAAATAGGGTATCACCCAAATGCCAGCGAGTCCTTCCTCATTGTGAAACCAGGATTCTATGAACGGGCAATGGGGGTGTTCAACGGAAGTGAGGTCAAAATAACTAAGGATGGCCAAAGACACCGAGGTGCGGTAATCGGCCAAGTATGTAAGAGAAAGTAAATGAGTGGGTGAAGGAAATCCAAGCTCTGTCTGATATTGCTAAAACAGAGCCACATGCGGCTTTTGCAGCATTCACCTATGGAATTATCTGATGCGCACTATCCCTGATATCGGACCCCTCCTCCACCCTCTGGAAGAAGCCATCAACGTCATTTTAATTCCAAAATTAGTGAAACATCCACTTAACCTTCACAGCCTCTCACTACCACCGAGACTGGGAGGAATGGGAATGACCGATCCAGAGGAACTTGCTGCCACCAAACATCAGAACTCAGTCAAGCTCACGGCAGCCCTCACTGAGCACATAAGTGAGGTGGATACCTATGAATTAAACAAAATTCGACGGTCCATTACAACAGAATGGCAGAACACCCAAAGTGATAAACTGCAACAACTGATGCTGCAATTGCCAGAGAACCTGAAAAAAGTAGCTTATAGCACAGGAGGTGGGCGCCTCGAACTGGCTAACAACGTTACCGATAAGAGCAAGAGGTTTCAGCCTTAATAAACAAGAATTCACAAATGCCATTACTCGAAGGTACGTTTAGTAGAAGGTTTGCCCCCCAATGCGTGTATGGGTCATCCTACAATATTGACCACGCTATGGTGTGCAAGAAAGGGGACTTCATATGCATGAGGCATGACGAAGTAAGGGATCTCACAGCAAATTTACTGAAGAAAATATGCCACGACGTCACGGTGAGAACCTCCATCACAGGACTTCCAACACATGTCAGTGCTCGGGGATTCTGGACGCGGGGACAGCGAGCCTTCTTTGATGTCAGGATATTCGACCCTATGGCCGCATGTCACCATAACTTGTCTTTGAGGCTGCACACAAGAGGAACGAGAATGACAAGATTAAGGCATATGCACAGATAATTCAGAATGTGGATCAGGGCAGCTTCACTCCTCTGGTGTTCACACCCTCTGGTGGGATGTGACCAAGTGCAAGACGCTTCTACGCAAGACTGGCGGAGGTGTTGTCTGAGCAGAAGCAGCAGCCCAGAAGCCACGTTGCACCGTTGAGATGTCGACTGTCCTCTCTGCTTAGGTCTGCATTGCTTTCCCTCAGGAGAACGAGATCGTCGGCACAGTCGCAGATATTGACTATGAGGCAACAGTCACTGAATGCCGCATAGATCTGCAGGTTAAATAACTCAACACAGCTAAGGAACCTACTTTTGTATTCGGGTGTTTATTTAATTTAAGGCAATATAATGGCGGCGAAGGTGTGGCTATTAGAGGATGGCTTAAGAAGTACTAGTAGTACACCTCAAACTACACTGTCAAAGGGATTTCATTACCAGAACTATGAGGAAATATTCTTCCTAAACTTAATACCATCAGCAAAAATAATTTCACGGGTCAGGGTGGTGAGAGGTGAGGTAGGAGAGGTGAGGGAAGACAGGTGAGGGAAGACAAGTGAGGGAAGACAGGTGAGAGTCATTAGGGAGAGGGGGCGTGAAAGAACTCTCATTTTATGATCACACACACACTCACTAACCTGCCGTGAAGGCCGCAGTACAGGCCGCTGGAGAGACAGTCAGAAGCAGGACATCCGGGGGAGCTGGCGCGACTAAGAACACCACTACCCAGATCCATCAACTGAAAGAAAAACACGAATTTTACGTCATAATAACCCGCGTCTTGCATTTTGAGGAACATGTCAACACCCAGAGAGATGGTCCCTTGTAGCCTCATATATTATGACAAATGATAAACATTAGTATGGCAGGATAAACATCTGGATCACGTGACGATTAACTCTCCCTTAGCTTATTTCACCTTATGATCAACCACCCTAACGCAACCTAACCCTAATCTAGCGTTACCTAACACAACCTAATTTAATCTAACCTAACGCAACCTAATCTAATCTAACCTACCGTAACGTAATCTATTCTTGCCAAATAAGTTTTGTTAGACATAAATTCTGATGCACTTCTAATGTTTGTCAATAATCACGAAAAAAAGAATTATCGTTTATTGCTTGAAATGACTCGTACATGTTCATTTACAAATAAAACTACATAGAAAGGTTTTCTCTCCACTTTGATGTTTTTAATTCAAATAAAACGCTAAAAATATATATTCCCCAACACTGGCACAATTTAGTTAAGGCTTTGAGGTACACCACTCACATCAAATATGGCTGCCAGGGCGTCCATGTTCGCTGAAACTATTAACTTCCCTGAATAAAATGGCTGGCGGTACACTAACACCCCCAGCTAACACATTAATATTTCACGTATATATACAGGACGTCTCAAAAATGTGTACACACTGCCGAACAGATTTTCGTGGAGGTTACAGAAATTCTTGTATTCCATCAGCAACACTGTCCTCACATATTACATAAGCAACATTGTCTTCACGTATTACATAAGCAACATTGTCTTCACGTATTACATAAGCAACATTGTCTTCACGTATTACATAAGCAACATTGTCTTCACATATTACATCAGCAACATTGTCTTCCCGTATTACATAAGCAACATTGTCTTCCCGTATTACATAAGCAACATTGTCTTCACGTATGACATAAGCAACATTGTTCTGCATTACATAAGCAACATTGTCTTCACTTATTACATAAGCAACATTGTCTTCACATATTACACCAGCAACATTGTCTTCGCATTACTTCAGCAACATTGTCTTCACGTATTATATAAGCAACATTGTCTTCACGTATTACATAAGAAACATTGTCTTCACGTATTACTTCAGCAACATTGTCCTCACGTATTACATCAGCAACATTGTCGTCACGTATTACATCAGCAACATTGTCCTCACGTATTACATCAGCAACATTGTCTTCACATATTACATCAGCAGCATTGTCCTCACGATACATAAGCAACATTGTCCTCACGTATTACATCAGCAACATTGTCTCACGTATTACATCAGCAACATTGTCCTCACGTATTACATCAGCAACATTGTCCTCACGTATTACATCAGCAACATTGTCCTCTACGCATATCAGCAGCAACATTGTCCTCACGTATTACATCAGCAACATTGTCTCACGTATTACATCAGCAACATTGTCCTCACGTATTACATCAGCAACATTGTCTTCACGTATTACATCAGCAACATTGTCCTCACGTATTACATCAGCAACATTGTCCTCACGTATTACATCAGCAACATTGTCCTCACGTATTACATCAGCAACATTGTCCTCACGTATTACATCAGCAACATTGTCCTCACGTATTACATCAGCAACATTGTCCTCACGTATTACATCAGCAACATTGTCCTCACGTATTACATCAGCAACATTGTCTCACGTATTACATCAGCAACATTGTCCTCACGTATTACATCAGCAACATTGTCCTCACGTTACATCAGCAACATTGTCCTCACATATTACATCAGCAACATTGTCCTCACGTATTACATCAGCAACATTGTTCTCACGTATTACATCAGCAACATTGTCCTCACGTATTACATCAGCAACATTGTTCTCACGTTTACATCAGCAACATTGTCCTCACGTACATCAGCAACATTGTCCTCACGATTACATCAGCAACATTGTCCTCACGTATTACATCAGCAACATTGTCCTCACGTATTACATCAGCAACATTGTCCTCACGTACAACATCAGCAACATTGTCCTCACGTAACATCAGCAACATTGTCCTCACGTATTACATCAGCAACATTGTCCTCACATACATCAGCAATTCTCGATTACATCAGCAACATTGTCCTCAGTATTACATCAGCAACATTGTCCTCACGTATTACATCACCAACATTGTCCTCACATATTACATCAGCAACATTGTCTTCCCGTATATATAAGCAACATTGTCTTCACGTATTAGATACAACATTGTCTTCACTTATGACATAAGCAACATTGTCTTCCGTATTACATAAGCAACATTGTCTTCCCGTATGACATAAGCAACATTGTCTTCCCTGATACATAAGCAACATTGTCTTCCCTGTATTACATAAGCAACATTGTCTCCGATTACATAAGCAACATTGTCTCTGTATTACATAAAACATTGTCTTCCCTGATTACATAAGCAACATTGTCTTCCCGTATTACATAAGCAACATTGTCTTCACGTATGACATAAGCAACATTGTCTTCCCGATTACATAAGCAACATTGTCTCCGTGACATAAGCAACATTGTCTTCCTGTATTACATAAGCAACATTGTCTTCCGCATACATAAGCAACATTGTCTCCCGTATTACATGCAACATTGTCTTCCTGTATACATAAGCAACATTGTTCTCTGTATTACATAAGCAACATTGTCTTCCCGTATTACATAAGCAACATTGTCTTCCTGTATATATAAGCAACATTGTCATAACGTATTACTTCAGCAACATTGTCTCACGTATTACATCAGCAACATTGTCCTCACGTATTACATCAGCAACATTGTCCTCACGTATTACATCAGCAACATTGTCCTCACGTATACATCAGCAACATTGTCTCACGTATTACATCAGCAACATTGTCTCACGTATTACATCAGCAACATGTCCTCCGTATTACATCAGCAACATTGTCCTCACATATTACATCAGCAACATTGTCTTCACGTATTACATCAGCAACATTGTCCTCACGTATTACATCAGCAACATTGTCCTCACGTATTACATCAGCAACGTTGTCCTCAATTACATCAGCAACATTGTCCTCACGTATTACATCAGCAACATTGTCTCACGTATTACATCAGCAACATTGTCCTCACGTATTACATCAGCAACATTGTCCTCACGTATTACATCAGCAACATTGTCCTCACGTATTACATCAGCAACATTGTCCTCACGTATTACATCAGCAACATTGTCTCACGTATTACATCAGCAACATTGTCCTCACTATTACATCAGCAACATTGTCCTCACGATACATCAGCAACATTGTTCTCGTATTACATCAGCAACATTGTCCTCACGTATTACATCAGCAACATTGTCCTCACGTATACATCAGCAACATTGTCTCAATTACATCAGCAACATTGTCCTCGTATTACATCAGCAACATTGTCCTCACGTATTACATCAGCAACATTGTCCTCATATTACATCAGCAACATTGTCCACGTATTACATCAGCAACATTGTCCTCACGTATTACATCAGCAACATTGTCCTCACGTATTACATCAGCAACATTGTCCTCACATATTACATCAGCAACATTGTCCCACGTATTACATCAGCAACATTGTCCTCAGTATTACATCAGCAACATTGTCCTCACATATTACATCAGCAACATTGTCCTCGTATTACATCAGCAACATTGTCCTAACATATATCAGCAACATTGTCCTCACGTATTACATCAGCAACATTGTCCTCACGTATTACATCAGCAACATTGTCCTCACGTATTACATCAAAACATTGTCCTCACGTATTACATCAGCAACATTGTCCTCACGTTTTGATGCATGTGCGAGGTGTCTCATTGTTGCTGTTGTTATCATAAAAACACACGGGATCTGACGGAAATAAAATAGTATGTCTAACTTTTTTCTAAGACATCATTATTATGGTACGTTGTTTATGTTGGTACTGCACGATTTCTGGTGAAGAAGTTGAATCGCTACAAACATGTTTCGAGAGCATGAGGATTACCCGATGATTCGGTCGCTGGATTGAGACGGAAAAAACCCGAATATTGGATAAAATTATATTTTCACACTTTCTAGATAGTTTAAAATTGTCCCAGGAAGTAACAGTAAGGAAGAAGCTGGCCGAAAAAGAGGGACTATTGTGTGCTTGGTGTGGAACTATCGTCAGACGCTAACTACTTTCATCCTCCCACCGGTGAGTAATTAAGTATACCAATTACCAATCGCCTCGGTCACCCACACCGCTCCTTGCTCATGAGTTGGCAGGCGTCCCTGAGATATTTAACGCTTGATTTTTCTTTCGATCGGGAGGGAAGGAGACTCACGCCACAGCATACAATATAATCATATACTTCCTATGTCATTCTCCTGCCTCCCTCCCTCCCTCCCTCCCTCACACACACGTCAAACAACATTAAACTGTTGCATTTGTTCATCTCATCACATATGTGAGGCAGCTCAGGTTTAGACCGAGGAAACAGCAATAAAACAGATAGTATTGTTGTTTTGTGGCGATAATTTCACCAGATTAGGTGTGCGCACCCTAGCCAGTGATTCACTGCGGGGGGCCTCGCGCCCTCCTGTTTTTAGACCAGTGATTTACCTCCCTGTTCATCACCATTTGTTTCTGTCTCGTTCTCTCCTTCTCTTTCTATTTATCACTTCAGTTTATTATCCTCTTTCCTGTAATTGTTTCATTTCTGCGTCTGTTAACTCCATGAATGCGAATCCTGACTCTCAAACTGATTTACTGACTCAGCAAGATAAATTCTTTTGTTTAATGTCATCGTGATGGAGAAAGATTATTACAGCAATTATATTTTCAGATCAGAGTGACAATGTGGCAACTTAACGTAACACAAATCTTTAAAACGCAAAAACAACCTCATCATAGATAATCAGGAGAGGAAGGAGACAGGCAGACGAGTGAACAGTTAGACAGACGCTGAGAAGAATGACCGACGTTAAAAGGATTTGACAAAAACACAGTACAGTTTTGTAAGGCGTTTGGCAGTCCCACACGCACGGTTAGCCTTTAACATCCAGGAACAAGGCATCACACACAAAATATTGAAGTGGATTAACAACCATGCCCTCCAGAAGTGTCACTCTTAACAGTGCCCTCCAGAAGTGTCACTCTCAACAGTGCCCTCCAGAAGTGTCACTCTTAACAGTGCCCTCCAGAAGTGTCACTCTCAACAGTGCCCTCCACAAGTGACACTCTCAACAGTGCCCTGCACAAGTGTCACTCTCAACAGTGCCCTCCACAAGTGTCACTCTCAACAGTGCCCTCCCACAGTGTCACTCTCAACAGTGCCCTCCAAAGTGTCACTCTCAGCAGTGCCCTCCACAAGTGTCCTCTCAACAGTGCCCTCCAGAAATGTCACTCTCGCAGTGCCCTCCAAGTGTCACTCTCAACAGTGCCCTCCAGAAGTGTCACTCTTAACAGTGCCCCTCAGAAGTGTCACTCAGCAGTGCCCTCCAGAAGTGTCACTCTTACAATTGCCCTCAAGTGTCACTCTCAGCAGTGCCCTCCGCAGGCACCTCAACAGTGCCCTGCACAAGTGTCACTCTCAACAGTGCTCTAAGTGTCACTCTCAGCAGTGCCCTCAAAGTGTCACTCTCAACAGTGCCCTCCACAAGTGTCACTCTCAACAGTGCCCTCCACAAGTGTCACTCTCAACAGTGCCCTCAGAAATGTCACTCTCAACAGTGCCCTCCACAAGTGTCCTCTCAACAGTGCCCTCCACAAGTGTCACTCTCAGCAGTGCTCTCCCGAGTGTCACTCTCAACAGTGCCCTCCAAAGTGTCACTCTCAGCAGTGCCCTCCAGAAATGTCACTCTCAACAGTGCCTCCAGAAATGTCACTCTCAACAGTGCCCTCCACAAGTGTCACTCTCAACAGTGCCCTCCAAAAGTGTCACTCTCAAGCAGTGCCCTCCACAAGTGTCACTCTCAACAGTGCTCTCCACAAGTGTCACTCTCAACAGTGCCCTCCACAAGTGTCACTCTCAGCAGTGCCCTCCACAAGTGACACTCTCAGCAGTGCCCTGCACAAGTGTCACTCAACAGTGCTCTCCAAAGTGTCACTCTCACAGTGCCCTCCAAAAGTGTCACTCTCAACAGTGCCCTCCACAAGTGTCACTCTCAACAGTGCCCTCCAAGTGTCACTCTCAACAGTGCCCTCCAGAAGTGTCACTCTCAACAGTGCTCTCCACAAGTGTCACTCTCAGCAGTGCCCCCCACAAGTGTCACTCTCAACAGTGCCCTCCACAAGTGTCACTCTCAACTGTGCCTCCACAAGTGTCACTATCAACAGTGCCATCACAAGTGTCACTCTCAACAGTGCCCTTCACAAGTGTCACTCAACAGTGCCGTCCACAAGTGTTACTCTCAACAGTGCCCTCCACAGAGTCACTCTCAACAGTGCCCTCCACAAGTGTCACTCTCAGCAGTGCCCTCCACAAGTGTCACTCTCAACAGTGCCCTCCACAAGTGTCACTCAACAGTGTCTCCACAAGTGTCACTCTCAACAGTGCCCTCCACAAGTGTCACTCTCAGCAGTGCCCTCCACAAGTGTCACTCTCAACAGTGCCCTCCACAAGTGTCACTCTCAACAGTGCCCAACACAAGTGTCACTCTCAACAGTGCCCTCCACAAGTGTCACTCACAACAGTACCCTTCACAAGTGTCACTCTCAACAGTGCCCTCCACAAGTGTCACTCTCAGCAGTGCCCTCCACAAGTGACACTCTCAACAGTGCCCTCCACAAGTGTCACTCTCAACAGTGCCCTCCAGAAAAGTCACTCTCAACAGTGCCCTCCAAGTGTCACTCTCAACAATGCCCTCCCACAAGTGTCACTCCCAACAGTGCCCTCCACAAGTGTTACTCTCAACAGTGCCTCACAAGTGTCACTCTCAACAGTGCCCTCCACGTGTCACTCTCAACAGTGCCCTCCACAAGTGTCACTCTCAGCAGATGCCCTCCACAAGTGTCACTCTCAGCAGTGCCTCCACAAGTGTCACTCTCAACAGTGCCCTCCACAAGTGTCACTCTCAACAGTGCCCTCCTCAAGTGTCACTCTCAACAGTGCCGTCCACAAGTGTCACTCTCAACAGTGCCCTCCAGAATTGTCACTCTCAACAGTGCCCCCAGAAGTGTCACTCTCAACAGTGCTCTCCACAAGTGTCACTCAACAGTACCGTCCACAAGTGTCACTCTCAACAGTGCCCTCCTCAAGTGTCACTCTCAACAGTGCCGTCCACAAGTGTCACTCTCAACAGTGCCCTCCATAAGTGTCACTCTCAACTGTGCCCCTCCACAAGTGTCACTCTCAACAGTGCCTCCACAAGTGTCACTCTCAACAGTGCCTTCCATGTGTCACTCTCAACAGTGCCCTCCACATGTGTCACTCTCAACAGTGCCCTCCACAAGTGACACTCTCAACAGTGCCCTCCACAAGTGTCACTCCAACAGTGCCACTCACCTCTCCGTTCACTCTGAGGTTCCTGATACATCCCCGGAAGTGAGGTGGGCGGAGGCGCGGTGGGTCACCATGCAGGATGTGGGCGGGGAGAGAGTAGGCCAGCCCGCCCACCTGCAGAGGCCCATCTGTGTTGAGGACGCGGGTGGACCTGGGCAATCTGGCTGCACCCCGGCAGGTGTGGGCGTCGGGTAGAGTAGGCGGGGTAGAGTGGTTGTGGGCGGGACTTGAGGGCAGGTGGGCGGGTCGTCGAGGCTCCCACCCGTACACATGTCCACAATCATCTCCACCAGCTGAGGGAGAGTTGGAGGTGGTGACTGGAGGGTGACTGGTGGGTGATGGAGGGGGATGAAGGGAAGGAGATGAAGGAGGAGGAAGTGAGAAAAAGAATGGGAGGGGAGAGATGGAGGAAGAGAAGGTGAGGCAAAAGAATGGGAGAGAGGACGACGATAACAGTCAGTATATTGACCCAGGGTTGTGGTACAACTATTAAAAATTGTATTCACTTTCTGATGGAGACTTCCTTCTTTGTCGTCTCTCCAATCTTTAAATCTCTTTATTAAATCTATTAATAAATCCATTTACTTTTCAGAGAAGTAAAAGTTTCTCTTCGTTTACCTTCAGTGTTTTGTGACCTGTACTGAGTTACTCACCTGGTCCTTCCAGATGAGGTCGATCCTGTGCCAGGTGTTATCAGCGAGAGAGTAGGAGGCGTTAAGGGCCAGGGTGACGGGCCGCCCCCAGGTCCAGCAGGAGGGGGGCGGCCCTGACGCAGCTCCAGCAGCAGCAAGTCACTAACAGTCCTGTCGCCCTGGTCTGGCCCGGAGTACAACAGTGTGGCTGCCCCAGACCTGGTGAGCACCTCCATACTCAGGTGGACCTCGGTACAGGGCGGGATGGGCGGCACCCACGCCCACCCGCCCAATAAGGTGGCCCCGCCAACACCGCCTCCACCACCCTCAAAGTGTCTGATGATCACCTTACAGCGGGACCCCCATGTGTGGTGAGGACAGATACACCTGTGGGTGAATATGACCGGACAATATGTGTTAATTGACTAAACAGTACACGACAAATACAACATATTATTATTCAGTAAATATTGACGTGAATTATCTAAAGTATACTCGTGTTGTTATTTTAGCCTCGTCTAGAACCATCATATTATTATATTCTCAACTTAATCAGTTATAAGTCTGACTGAGCACAGTACGGGAGCTGTCTACCTTACAGCAGCACCTTATGAGTCTGATAGTTCAGTCATTTCCCTGAGCTTCAGGTACTACGAAACACACTTGTGAACTAGTGACTGGTGTATAGGTGTTCTCCACTCACCTGGTGCCTTTAGGTGTGACTAAACACCTGCCACCGTTGAGGCAGGTGTAGGGGGTGCAGATGGTGTGGTAGACGGGTATGATGTTGCCACAGCCACAGGTAGTGAGGATCTCCACCCGAGGACCCGACACAGTCGACGTGTTGGCGTCCACCACACTGAACCCTTCACCCAGGGCGGCCCGCACCCGCCCCGTCCTCACACCTGTTAGCGGCCTGTAGGGAGGCTTTACGAGCTGTCTTGTTGACGGCGGCCTCCTCCTCGCTGATGACGTGAACGATCTCATGACAGGTACCCACGCCCACATCTCGTACACTCACGCCCAAGATAGCACTCAGCTGCCACACGAGAACACATAACACCAGCCAATCAACTAGATCACTTCAGTAAGCATTAAAATAGCACCATTCCATCCCCCTACCTCCTCCTCCATCACTCCTCCCTACCTCCACCCACATCGCTCCTCTACCTCCTCCTCCATCCTCCTCCTACCTCCTCCCCACATCGCTCCTCCTACCTCCTCCTCCATCCTCCTCCCTACCTCCTCCTCCATACTCCTCCCATCCTCCTCCCTACCTCCTCCATCACTCCTCTCACATCCTCTCCTCCCTACCTCCTCCTCCATCCTCCTCCCCCACCTCCTCCTCCATCCCTCCTCCCTACCTCCTCCCACATCCTCCTCCTACCTCCTCCTCCATCCTCCTCCTCCATCCTCCTCCCTACCTCCTCCTCCATCCTCCTCTACCTCCTTCTCCATCCTCCTCCCTACCTCCTCCTTCATCAGTCCTTCTCCATCACTATACCCTACCTCCTCCTCCATCACTCCTCCCTACCTCCACCCACATCGCTCCTCCCTACCTCCTCCTCCATCACTCCTCCCTACCTCCTCCCACATCGCTCCTCCCTACCTCCTCCTCCATCACTCCTCCCTACCTCCTCCTCCATCACTCCTCCCTACCTCCTCCCCACACATCCTCCCTCCCCCCTCCCTCCTCCTCCTCCTCCTCACTCCTCCCCTCCTCCTCCTCCTCCCTCCTCCCTCCTCCCCTCCTCCTCCCTTCCTCCTCATTCTCCATCACTATACCCTACCTCCCACTCCATCCTCCTCCCCTACCTCCCTCCTCCTCCTCCCCTACCTCCTCCTCCCTCCCTCCTCCCTACCTCCTCTCCATCTCCTCCCCCTCCTCCTCCTCACTCCTCCCTCCTCCACCTCACTCCTCCCACCTCCTCCTCCCCCTACCTCCTCCCCATCACCTCCCACCTCCCTCCCCTCCTCCTCCTCCTCCTCCTCCTCCTCCCTCCTCCTCCCCTCCTCCCTCCTCCTCCTCCTCACTCCTCCTCCTCCCCTCCCCACCCTCCCTACCTCCTCCTCCTCCTCCTCCTCCCTCCCCCTCCCTCCTCCCTCCTTCTCCTCCTCCTCCTCCCCTCCTCCACCTCCTCCTCCTCCCCCCCTCCTCCTCCATCATCCCACCTCCTCCCACTCACACCTCCTCCCTGCCTCCCTACCTCCTCCTCCCTCCAGCCTCCTCCCCTCTCCCTACCTCCTCCTCCATCACTCCTCCCCTACCTCCTCCTCCCATCACTCTCCACCTCCTCCTCCATCCTCCCTACCTCCTCCTCAATCCTCCTACCTCCTCCTCCATTACTCCCTCCTCCTCCATCCTCCTCTACCTCCTCCATCCTCCTCCCTATCTCCTCCCCAGCACTCCTCCCTACCTCCTCCTCCATCAATCCTCCCTACCTCCTCCCTACCTCCTCCTCCACCCTCCTCCCACCTCCTCCTCCATCCTCCTCCTCCTCCACCACTGCTCCCTACCTCCTCCTCCATCACTCCCTCCTCCTCCTCCCCTCCTCCTCCTCCCCACCTCCTCCTCCACCACCTCCCTCCTCCTCCTCCTCCTCCATCACTCCTCCCTACTTCCTCCTCACAGAAGACGACCTTAATTGTGACGTCAAAACAATAGTGGTGTAATATGTATGCAGATGTAAGACCAAAGTTTACTGTTGCCAGCCAAGTGTCCTGCTGCCAGAGTCTCTCACAGCGATGGTGACAGTCCTCAAATTTTTTTATCTTGACAGAGTTTTGTTTATAAAGTTATTACAGGTAAATTAATTCTTCACCTGGTGATAGTTTGTGTGTGTGTGTGTGTGTGTGTGTGTGTGTGTGTGTAATAATAATAATAATAATAATAATAATAATAAATTGCTTGGTTTATTGAAAGAAATTGGCAACCAGAAGGCTGAAAATATACAGTTACATATTTGGGGAATGGGTTACGAATTACAAATAATATAGAAGTGACATAAGTGACACAATAAGACATATAGTAACTTAGATGGGGATCAGCTCAAACTACAGTTCATTTCAACATAGTGACAGTGTGTGTGTGTGTGTGTGTGTGTGTGTGTGTGTGTGTGTGTGTGTGTGTGTGTGTGTGTGTGAGACTTCCATAACATGTGTCTAAAACTTACATCTTAAACCCTGGGTATAAACATCATAAACCCTGGGTGTTCTAGCCCCTATCAATCAGTATTATATAAATATGGGCTAAGGACATATATTCATTATATACATTCTATCACCCAGACTATTGAGCATAAAGCTTCATAAGCATTTGTTCTGTCACACCTCCGAGGGTGGACAGCACACTTAAACATTTGTAGTTTCACACAGATTCAGGTTACAACCCATAAATATATGTCCCCAGGCCTCCGTGAGAGTAGGCCTGTGGAGTGTAGCCTCTTATCTCTGTGTTGACGTATAGATTACATACCCCCTTACAAGCAGAGAAGAGAGGGGTTCGCCTAGTTCACAGTTTCACACAGTTCAACAGTTCACAGCCAGACACCATACCAAAGAGACGTGTGTGAGCATAGCTCCCGAGGCTGTATCTCTCTCTAATTTTATCAGCTAATTACAAGCTAATAGCTAATGCTCAGTAGTCTGTCAACAAACAATTCTGTAACTACCAGAGCATCCAATATAACTAGAAAATGACCACGTGTGTTTACATTAAACCAAGGAACCACAAATGAAGATAACAGAACCTGTGTACACTTGTGTATACTTACAAGCTAAGATAATTACAAGTGTAACCCAGGTGGGCTTGGACGACTCAGCGACTCAAAACTACGACTGTATCAAAGGTGACACGCCTGAGACTACCTATTATCTCACCCAGCTTCATCAAAGGTACCAGCGACTACTCTACACTCATTCAGGCAAGTGTTAACAAGTGAGATCATTTGATATCAAACCCCGGCCCAAACATGGGTATAAACGTCTTAAACCCTGGATATAAACGTCTTAAACCCTGGATATAAACATTTTAAACCGTGGATATAAACATCTTAAACCCTGGGTATAAACATTTTAAACCCTGGATATAAACATCTTAAACCCTGGGTATAAACATCTTAAACCCTGGGTATAAACATCTTAAACCCTGGATATAAACATCTTAAACCCTGGGTATAAACATCTTAAACCCTGGGTATAAACATCTTAAACCCTGGGTATAAACATCTTAAACCCTGGATATAAACATCTTAAACCCTGGGTATAAACATCTTAAACCCTGGATATAAACATCTTAAACCCTGGATATAAACATCTTTTAAACCCTGGGTATAAACATCTTAACCTGGATATAAACATCTTAAACCCTGGTATAAACATCTTAAGCCTGGATAAAAACATCATAAACCCTGGGTATAAACATCCTCCTCATCCTTCCTGTACAAGAGAATGTGATCCCAGGTTTACGACGCCAGGAGACACCAGCCACACACTTGGGAGGTGGTGGTGATGGGCGAGGATGAGCGTGGGTGTGGTGGAGTCCCTCTAGAGGTTCCACCGACACCGCCCGCACGCCTACGCTGAAGCCTTCCACCCACGCCTGTACGGTGGCTTCAGAGACCTAACACAGAGAGTTCTCCCTGTGATGGTGGTGAAGGGGTGGTGGTGAAGGTGTGGTGGTGGTGAAGGTGTGGTGGTGGTGAAGGTGTGGTGGTGGTGTTGAAGGAGGTGTGTGAGGTGGTGGTGAAGGTGTGTGGTGATGAGAGGTGTGGTGGTGAAGGTGTGGTGGGGGTGTGGTGGTGGATGTGTGTCGTGGGGTGTGGTGGAGGTGAAGGTGTGGTGGAGGTGGTGGTGAAGGTGTGGTGGTGGTGAAGAGAGGCGGAGGTGTGGTGGTGGTGATGTGGTGGTGAAGGTGTGGTGGTGGTGGTGGTGGTGTGATGGTGAAGGCGTGATGGTGGAGGTGTGGTGTGGTGGTGTGGTGGTGGTGTGGTGGTGGTGGAGGTGTGGATGTGTGGTGGTGTGGTGGTGGTGGTGGTGGTGGTGGTGGTGGTGAGTGTGGTGGTGAAGGCGGAGTGTGTGGTGGTGGTGGTGGTGGTGAGTAGTGGTGAGGGTGTGATGGTGAGAGATCGTGGTGGTGGATGTGGTGGTGGTGGTAGTGATGTGTGGTGGTGTGAGGTGGTGAGAGGTGTGGGTAAGGTGGAGTGGTGGTGGTGGTGGTGGTGGTGTGAAGAACTGGAGGTGTGGTGGTGGTGGTGGGTATGGTGGTGGTGGAGGTGTGGTGTGTGGTGGTTTGGTGGTGTGGTGGTGGTGTGTGGTGGTGGGTGTGGTGGTGAGTGGTGGTGGTGGTGGTGGTGTGGAGGTGGTGGAGGTGAGTGTGGTGGTGGTGGTGGTGGTGGTGGTGAGATGTTGTGGTGGTGAGGTGGAGGTGTGGTGGTGGTGGTGGTGGTGGTGTGGTGGTGAGGTGGAGGTGTGGTGGTGGTGGTGGGCGGTGTGGTGGTGGTGGTGGTGTGGTGGTGACGGGTGGTGGTGGTGGTGGTGGTGGTGGTGGTGGTGTGGTGGTGGTGGTGGTGGTGGTGTGGTGGTGGTGGTGTGGTGGTGGGTGGTGGCGGTGGTGGTGGTGTGGTGGTGGTGTGGTGGTGGTGGTGTGGTGGTGGGTGTGGTGGTGTGGAGGTGTGGTGGTGGTGGTGGGTGGTGAGGTGGTGGTGGTGGTGGTGGTGGTGGTGGTGTGGTGGTGGTGGTGGGTGGTGGTGTGGTGGTGGTGTGTGGCGGTGGTGGGGTGTGTGGTGTGGTGGTGGTGTGGTGGTGGTGGTGGTGTGGTGGTGGGTGGTGTGTGGTGGTGGTGGTGGTGGTGGTGGTGGTGGTGGTGGTGGTGGTGGTGTGGTGGTGGTGGTGGTGGTGGTGGTGGGGTGGTGGTGTGGTGGTGGTGGTGGTGTGGTGGTGGTGGTGTGGTGGTGGTGTGGTGGTGGGTGGTGTGGTGGTGGTGGTGGGTGGTGGTGGGTGGTGGTGGTGGTGGTGGTGGTGGTGGTGGTGGTGGTGGTGGTGGTGTGGTGGTGGTGTGTGGGTGTGGTGGTGGTGGTGGTGTGTGGTGTGGTGGTGTGTGTGTGGTGGTGAGGTGGTGGTGGTGGTGGTGGTGTGGTGGTGTGGTGTGGTGTGGTGGTAGTGGTGTGGTGGTGGTGTAAGGTGTGGTGGTGGTGGTGTGGTGGTGAAGGTGGTGGTGTGGTGGTGGTGGAGAAAGTTGTACAATATTAGTGAATGCATGATAACAAACGTTGATAATTATGCCATAAACATTATCGATTTTATCACGATATCTCATTCTCGTTTATTCTTTCACTGTTTATTCCCGAAACTGATTTTGTAATTATTTTATCTATCTATCTATCTCACTCTATGTATGTATGTATGTAACTCCTGACCTCTTCCTCCTTGACCAGGTGGTATGGGTCAGCCACCAGAGTGAGAGGAGTCGCGTACGCAAGGTCAAACTGGTTCAGGGATTTGACCTTGACTGTCACGTTGGCTCTGACCCCAAACTGTCCCTGGCTGGCGTCACTGACCTTAAAACTAAGGTCGTATCTGTTCAGGAAAAGAAAAGTTAATTAATAAATGATAAATATGCTATTTATATATTTTTTATATATAAATACGTAAGACTTTATTAATACGTAACAATTATTTACAAAGTTTGTTACTGTAATTTTATATTTTCTATATAAATAAATACGTAAGTTTACTTACCAGTTACTTTTTTATATAAAAATATTTAGTTTTATTCAGCATCAGGTACAACAACTATATTAAAAAGGAGATACAATGATATCTTAATATTTCGAGCGAACTGAAAACTATTTTTTGGGTGCATTCGTGAATGAGCGCGAAGCAAAAATTAAATATAAGAAATAGCCTAACGGGGAGCCGCTGTTGTTCCCGATATATTTCTCACTTTCTGTCTTAGTCGATATTTTTTACGATCTATTATTAAGGTTTATCTGAGTGATGAAGGGTGTCGTATTATAACACAATGACGGTAATTATAACGTTACTAACACGATAATATTGGTGTGTAATGTGACACACACACACACACACGGCGCTATAATATCCATTATTTACGGCTCAATGATTTTCCTGTTGAAAATAACTGGAAAATTACTGAAATGACTTAACAAATAGTGAGGAAGAGAGTCCATTAGCTGGTTCCTGTGGCTACTGTGTAGGTGTTGGTGTGGGTGGTGTGGTGAACAGGTGGTGTAGTGAGTGTTTGAAACAATGCTGTGTTAACACAACACTAAGCAACAATGTAGTTAACAAAAGTAACACTGCAACACTAAGCAACAATGTAGTTAACAAAAGTAACACTGCAACACTAAGCAACACTGCAATTAATATAAGTAACACTGCAACACTAAGCACACTGCAATTAACAAAAGTAACACTGCGATAAGCAACACTGCAATTAACAAAAGTAACACTGCAACACTAAGCACAGGTGGTTGTAAATTATGGTTTTACTGAGAGGGTGGTGGTTGTGGGGTTAGTTGGATAGTGGTTGGTTTGTTGCTGATGGGTGGGGTGGTTGTTAGTGAATGGTGTGGTTGGTTGGTGAATGGTGGTGGTTGGTGATTTGGTGGGGTGATGGTTGGGTGAATAGTGTTGGTGGTTAATAGTGGTCAAAGTCAGAGAGAGAGAGAGAGAGAGAGAGATTATCATATATATTATTCAGTATACATTAATACTCGTGAAAATGTTACCTGCACAAGTTTTAGTTAACTTACCGGCCGTCAGGTGTGTCTGTGGTCATAGTGAGGTCGCCGGTGGCGGTGTGGAGGAGGAATCCTGGGTGGTGGGTGGTGGTGGGGCGTAAGTCTTAGCTGCTGAGTCCCAGTCATCCGGGTCTCCTGGGGAGGCGAGGTGACATCCTCCCAGGGCACCGCCATCCTGGGGAGTGAGAGGAGGGAGAGTCACATCCTTTCTGTGGGAGCAGGAATCACGCAATCTACCGTATGATTTGTGGCAGAGACGAGGTTGTGTAAGTCTTTGATTTTATTAGTGTGTCACACACACGCATGGTAGGTGTGGACAGTGAGCTAACTCTGGAGGTGTGGACAGTGACTAACCTGGAGGTGTGGACAGTGACTAACCTGGAGGTGTGGACAGTGACTAACCTGGAGGTATGGACAGTGACTAACCTGGAGGTTATGAACAGTGACTAACCTGGAGGTGTGGACAGTGACTGACCTGTGGGTGTGGACAGTGACTAACCTGGAGGGTGTGGACAGTGACTGCCTGGAGGTGTGGGTGTGGCCAACCTGGAGGTGTGGACAGTGACACAGAGGAGGTGTGGACAGTGACCCTGGAGGTGTGGACAGTGTGGCCTGGAGGGTATGAACAGTGAGCCTGGAGGTGTGGACAGTGACTGACCTGGTGGGTGGGACAGTGACTAACCTGGAGGGTGTGGGCAGTGACCAACCTGGAGGTGTGGACGTGACCTAACCTGGAGGTGTGGACAGTGACTAACCTGGAGGGTATGAACAGTGACTAACCTGGAGGGTGTGGACAGTGACTTGACCTGGTGGGTGGGACGGAGCCCAACCTGGAGGTGTGGACAGGTGACTAACCTGGAGGGTGGGACAGTGACTAACCTGGAGGGTGTGGACAGTGACTAACCTGGAGGGTATGGACAGTGACTAACCTGGAGGGTGTGTGGACAGTGCCTGGAGGTGTGGACAGTGACCAACCTGGAGGGTATGGACAGTGACTAACCTGGGAGGTGTGGAACAACTAACCTGGGAGGTGTGGACAGTGACTAACCTGGAGGGGTGGGCGTGACTAACCTGGAGGTGTGGGCGTGACTAACCTGGAGGGTATGGACAGTGACTAACCTGGAGGTGTGGACAGTGACCAACCTGGAGGGTGTGGGCAGTGACTAACCTGGAGGTGTGGACAGTGACTAACCTGGAGGGTGTGGGCAGTGACTATGGAGGTGGACAGTGACTGGAGGTGGACAGGCCTGGAGGGTGTGGATGAGGTGTGGACAGTGTGGAGGGTGGACAGTGACCTGGAGGTGTGGACAGTGACTAACCGGAGTGTGGACAGTGACTGGGTGTGGACAGTGGTGAGCTAACCTGGAGGGTGTGGGCAGTGACTAACCTGGAGGTGAGCAGTGTAACCTGGAGGTGGTGTGGACAGTGATAACCTGGGGGGTGTGGGACAGTGACCACCTGGAGGTGTGGATAGTGACTAACCTGGAGGGTATGGACAGTGACTACCTGGAGGTGTGGACAGTGACTAACCTGGAGGGTGTGGACAGTGACCTGGAGGGTAGGACAGTGACTGCCTGGAGGTATGGACAGTGACTGACCTGGAGGTATGGACAGTGACTGACCTGGAGGTATAGACAGTGACTGACCTGGAGGGTATGGATGACTGACCCTGGAGGGTATGGACAGTGACTGACCTGGAGGGTATAGACAGTGACTGACCTGGAGGGTATGGACAGTGACCCTGGAGGGTGTGGACAGTGACTGACCTGGAGGGTATGGACAGTGACTGACCTGGGGGTATGGACAGTGACTAACCTGGAGGGTGTGGACAGTGAGCAATCTGGAGGTATGGACAGTGACTGACCTGGAGGTATGGACAGTGACCTGGAGGGTGTGGACAGTGACTGACCTGGAGGGTGTGGACAGTGACTGACCTGGAGGGTGGACAGTGACTAACCTGGAGGTGTGGACGGTGACCTGGAGGTATGGACAGTGACCTGGAGGTATGGACAGTGGCTGCCCTGGAGGGTATGGACAGTGACTAACCTGGAGGTGTGGACAGTGACTAACCTGGAGGGTATGGACAGTGACTGACCTGGAGGTATGGACAGTGACTAACCTGGAGGGTGTGGACATTTGAGCCTGGAGGGTATGGACAGTGACTGACCTGGAGGGTGTGGACAGTGACTGACCTGGAGAGTTATGGACAGTGACTGACTCTGGAGGGGTATGGACAGTGACTGACCCTGGAGGGTATGGACAGTGACTGACCTGGGGCATGGACAGTGACTGACCTGGAGGGTATGGACAGTGACTGACCTGGAGGGTATGGACAGTGACTAACCTGGAGGCTGGACAGTGACCTGGGTATGGACAGTGACTGACCCTGGAGGGTATGGACAGTGACCCTGGAGGCTGTGGACAGTGACTGACCTGGAGGCTATGGACAGTGATGACCCTGGGGGTGGACAGTGACCTGGATGGTGGACAGTGACCCTGGGGGGTATGGACAGTGACTGACCCTGGACAGTGACTGACCTGGAGGGTGTGGACAGTGACAGTCTTGGCGGGAGTCATGGGGTTGTCATTAAGGTCTGCGACGTGGACGGTGAGGGTGACGGTGGCGGAAAGGGCTGTGTAAGCGTCCCAGCAGTGCTCCTCCCGGTCAGTCTAAATATTTCAAACGTCAAATACAACATCTTCCACATCACCACCACGTGGAAAAACACACACACACACACACACACACACACACACACACACACACACACACACACATACACACCATGGAGGTGGATGTTGCTGCAGGGCCTCAGATGGATGGGTCTGAGTAGGGGTGAGGAAGAGGTACAACTCTTTAACAAGGGAGAGAGTGACCTCACTCATCTGACTGCCTGAGTCACCACAACACTTCTCAAATTCACTGTTCAGGTCCTCTGGGTCATCTCTCGTCGGTACAACAACATCAGGTCATTCAACACAACTTCCCTCTAACTGCTGTACTGTAGTAGTAAAAAAAAAAATTACTCCTCAAATTGTGTTAGATACTGATCTCTTGCGTACAGTCAACTAAGAGTCCATTCGCCTCTCCCACCTGAACCATGAGAGATTCAGACTCGTGAATCCAAAGCCTTTATGGACAGAATAATACATCAGTCTGCTGCTTCGGGTTCACGAACTTCACGAGTCTGAATCTCAGGGCTTTGCGGTTCAGGGGGAGAGGTGAATGGACTTTAGTAGCTGAAGCACTGGTGGCTCATCAAACCTCAACAATCAGAAAGTGGGGTTGGGACGTGGTGAGGTAGGATGCAGAGCGAGAGGGCATCTGACCAAGAGTTGCTCCACATTGCGGAGGGCGGGTTGAGGGCCAGCTTTAGATCACTTACGGGGTGCATTTGTGCTCTGTATCTTGGCCCGTGTGGCGCCATATAACACACACACACACACACACACCGATGTTCCTTATTTAATTTATACATTTTTATTCGTCTTTTTTCAGCCCGTGACTTATATTCTCCCAATAAACAGTTAATTGTTGTTATTATCATCATCATCATCATTATTATTACACACATTATCAACATATACTGTCTTGTGAACTTGGCAAACTCACTTATATCGTGGGTGACCCTGAAGGTGTCGGTGACGTGGTGAGGTGCCCTGGGGTCGAGGGCTAGGGTGAAGGGCGGACCATGTCCCTGGCGCCAATCATCAGGGTCTCCCAACCTGACCCTGGTACCATCTGTGCTCCTGCGTTCTCCACCACCTCCACCTCCCGCGGGTCAGCCAGGAAGGGCGGGTTGTCGTTCACATCCGTCACCTTAACCTGACAGACACACATACACACACTTGGCTTTACTTTGCTATTACCATTTGCTTGAGCTTCAGTTGATTTTCAGGCCGTCAACTGCCAAGGTCATTACGGCTGATATACAACCACTGTCATTATTTACCAAAGACAATAAAGAAGATAGGAAAGAGACCCTCTGACATGTGACTGAAATTTTGTTGAACAGTCGCTAAATGGGTCTGCCAAAGTTTGTGGTTTGACAGTTAACACTCAAAATTTAATCCAGCATTTACCAGTATATACATAAAATTGATAAAACTATTTGCCATATGGTATGGAACACAGTTGGTAAACATAAAAACATGTACGTATGTACAACAAAATGTATAGGGTGGTACAGGGTAAGTACCTGTGATTAAATATATTGAAGTAGTAGCAACAATACTCATCTGGAGGTATCTGACAGCTGTAAACATATGTTGTAAACCTCAATAGATGGCGCCACTATTCGACAACACATTTTATGCTGTGCTTATGCAGCCATTTTCCTATCTTTCTTATACTGTATAATCTTTGATTATTTACTGTTTAGAATAATAAAAATTTTAATACTATAACAAAGGTCTTTTCATCATTTGTTGTTTACAAAATAACCAAACTCGGTCAAGACTGGTCACCAAGACACACACACACATTGCTGCTAAAACCAAACTCTCGCTATATACTATTCAGACATTATAATAAAACTAAGCATTGTCAGTTAAAATTAAATATCTTTAGTTCCCCCCCCCAAAAAAAACACCCAAGTTAAATATATCTTTAATAAGATGAATAATATCTGTAAATTAACTATAGTTTACAATGATAAATAGATGACACTAAACACACGCACATAATTAACACAGACATTAGAGTCGAGTTAACTTAACTTAATGTAGGGTGTATACAACAAAACGGGATAGTACTGTACATACATATACATAATTACATGGACACATACACACATACATGGATACATACACACATACATGGACACATACATATACAGATACATACATAAATACATAGATGACATTAATGGGGTTTGCTGTAGGAGGAAGGACCAGATAATCCAATAAATGAGAAGAGCAAGAAGTGAGGAGAGAGAGAGAGAGAGAGAGAGAGAGAGAGAGAGAGAGAGAGAGTGAATGGTATAAGTCAGGGGAATCATCTATGTGAGGGAGGAGAGAGGGAGTGAGGGAAGAGAAAAGGCAAGTGAGGGTAAAGAGGGAAAAGGCAATGAGGGGAGGAGGAGAAGGCAGGAGGGAGGAGAGAAGGCAGGAGGGAGGAGAGA